AACAACAACAAAAAAAAACCCAACGTGAAAGAAGAGGACCTAAAGAAAAATGCTACCAAAATATTTTAATGTCAGTTTCTAGTATTAAAGTTTTTACACTAGAAATTTTTTTTCAAATGGAATAGTTGACATTATCTTTTTTTTTTTTTTTTGCTTGAAAATTGTCATGAGCAAATTTTAAAAAGTAACATGCTATGGGTGGTTAATTTTAATGGGGAGTTAATATTCTAGTTCCTCTTTTATGTAAATGATTCCAATTTGTTTTAGAAACTTTAAAAAATTACTTCTATCTTTCTATTACATGTTCATAGTAACCCAAAGAGGTCATTTATTGTCTCAGGAATTTAGTTATTGTGTCAGTAAAGTCCCTAAGATTTAGAATAAATACTAATTAAGATGCAAACTCCAGTCTCATGCACTCTTATCTAGTCTCCGAGATCACTCACTCACCTACGGTTTTGGCAGACTGTCTGAGCAGTGTCTTCACCCCTCACCACATCTGGGACTTTTTCTTCTTTCAAATGCTGTTCTGTTTCCTCTAGGGGGCTGCCTTCAGAAAGGACATGTTCAGGTTCGCCGACGCACTCTTCTCTCTGATCTGTTTCAATCTGAATTAAAGGCACTTCCCTTGAACAAAGTGATCGCCCCCTGTGGTTTGGAGGGACGCCATCATGGCACAAGGAAGTTTCGTTTTTAGAATCTAAACCGTTGTGGTTTGTAAGAGAAGCAGATCTGCTTGGAGCCAATACTGGGGGATGTTGGTTTTCGGTAACAGAGTCTCTCCTCGGGTACTCAACAGACTCCTGGACAAGAAGAATTGGCCCGCTTTGCACTCTGCTTGAAGCTAATCTGTGTGCACACTTATCTACTTGTGACGGGGAGTCACCAGGGGCAGCATCTGCTGCCTGGCCATCATCCGTTATAATTTTGTTCTTCCGCATGAGGGCTTCGATCGAGTTTGCCCACGTCTCATGAATCAGCATGCTTGTGATCTGATCAGTTCCACCTCTCCAATACAAGCAAGAATCGGATTTGCACAGCCCAGAGGAGGAAGCACTACCGACCGGCTGGACGCTCAGGAAATCTCGCTGGCTGTTTTGAGCAAAGCCATCTAAGGAGTTGGCTTTGAGTGGCGCATTCACCGTCAGCCTGGGGCCCAGGGACCTGCTATCTGGCATGGACGACTGTCTATAACAGAAAGGGGATCGCAGAGAAGGCGACAGTAAGCCCGCCGTCCAATCCTGGCTGCTTCGCCTGGAAGAGGTGCTGTCTCTGCTCTCTCTTTCAGCGTCCCTCAGCATGTACCTATAGAACTCCTCGGTTATGCTCTCGGTGCTGGACTGCTTAGAGGGACAGCTTGGTCTCACACTGAGGTGGTCATTCTTCCTGCAGGCCTGCTGCATAGCTGAGTTCAGAATGCTGCTGGCATTCTTGCCCGCGTAGTAATCCAGCAGTAACTCAAATCCTCTTCCTTCGTTCTCCATCTGGTTCACCATGAACCTGGAAAACTCATCGGTGATGCTCTCACAGCTCGACTGCTTGGAGACAGAGCTGTCCCTGCTAACAGGCTGACTCAGGGTGCTCATTAAACCCAGGCTGTTGACAGAGGCCCTGACGCTCATGTCCTCCTCTGCAATGCTTTCACAGCTGGAGGCCTTCAGCCGGTTCCACCTGTCCCCGCTGTGTAAACGATTCCGGGGAAAGCTCTGGGCTTGCCAGACGCCGTCCACCATGGAAAACTCTGTCAGGTTCATGATCTTGGCTGCCACTTCGTTTGCAAAAATACTGACAGAATCTGGGATGTCCTCAAGGTTCATGGACTCGTCCACGACCCTGTTCATCAGCTTCTCTTTGAGCTCTGGGTGCTCATCCGTTTTCCTCTTGATCTCGCTGAGCCGTGGTGGCTTGTGTTTCCTCACGGTGGCCCCACTGGCCTGGCTGTCCTTCTTCCTCTTCAAGGATCGACAGGATATGTTGGGGGTAACCAGAAACTCATTCCCTCTTTTCCACGCGCAAAACCAGGGCTGCTTTCCTTTTGAGTTGTCAAGGCAAATTGCTGCGATTTCAGTTGCCATGGAGACAATCGTCTCTGCTAATTCTTCCGCAAAGTCTGTAATGCAGTAAAGATCTGTGTGTTTTGCCCGCAGCATGGATTGAGCAGGAAGCGGCAGGTCACTCCCTAACAAAGACAGATCAACTTGAACTTCATTGTTTAGCGGTGAGGCACGACTGCACTTTTCTTGGGTGTTTGGACTGAAGCTGTCCTCAGCATCCCAGGAACTGTGCTTGGTGACTGTTGGTGTCCTTTTCCCCTCTGACGAGAATCTGCATTCATTCTCATTGTGACTGGGCCTCCGATGAGGGATTTTTGTATCCTTTCCCATGGTTCCTTTCTGATATAGTCCCTTGGGGGATGTTTTAGCAGTCGGAAAACCAGGCACTCTGGGACTACATGACAATTCGGACTGCAGTGTGGGGTTCTGGCAGAGGCCTGGCTTCGCTAGACCCTTGCTGTCTTGCTTTGGATGCACGTCGTCGATGAGATCGTTGATAACGAGACCAGTGCTACGTGGATTGCCAGGTGGACGGCTACTGGAGTGTTCAGCGGCTTTTGTCCACGCTTGACTAGCAGCCCTATCAGCTGGCTGACAGCCCGGTTCTGTTTCCTTCCATCCAACAGTGTCCTTAGAAAGGATGGTGGGACATTCACCGAGCTGTACAAGATGGCTCATCTTCCTGAACGTGAAGCATATCACACTGAAGAGCAGTCGATTTATACTTTCCATCACAGCGTCCAGCGTTTCAGAGGAAGGTCTGCCATTGTGGGAGTCGATTATTTTATTTTTTTGGTGGACTTCATCGATGGAATGCTTCAGGACCACACTGGACAGGGCCTGTGCCAATTCCATTCCGAGGACATTTTCTGAGCACAGGCTCTGGGGCTGTGAAGCAGTGTCCATGATTCTCCTAGTCACTGATTCCATGAGGTCTCCCATGCTGCTGTACGTATTTGGCCTTGTTAAAACCAGAGCGGCCTCCTTGAGCAACGCTTCTGCAATGGCTTCATTTCCCAGCTCCATGTCCCCGCCTGCCACTAAGTTACAAAGTGCGGGGACTGCTGTGGCAGACTCGGCTGCAGACAAGAGGCCACTCAACTGACCAGGGTACTTCACCTCCGCTGTCTCACTCAGGCCACAGACAGCCACGGCACTCGCCACCTGAGTCAAGCCGCACAAAGCAGATGGGAATGAGTACTCACTGATGGAATGTTCCGTGGGTACCGGGGGCGCTTGAGTCTGTAGTGGTTCACTGCCTCCCAGCGGACCTTTGGAAACCAGGGACTCTTGCTCCATTTTCAGTCTTTCTGTGGCCTGTGGACTGGAAATAGTTCCAATCACAGTGGCCGCGCAAGCTAACGCCACTTCTAGAGCACTCTGGGGGTGTCTTTGGGAGTTCTCCCCAGAGGCGACACCTGAGGTCTCAACAGAGACTTTCATCTCAGGCCACGAGGAGATGCCTGGCTCAGGGGCAGCGTCACTGCCGTCTGGACTCTGAACAACGACAATCCTGGGGAGTTCATTCCACGATCGAGGGACCATGGCATCTTCTGTGGAACAGCCTCTGGGGAGTGGAGCACTTCCTGCAGAAACACCCACTGCAGATTCCCGGGGCGGAGTAGGCCGAGACTGAGATAATCTAAGAAATGCATCTTGCAGCACGGATTCTGCTAAGGTTGTAGCATACTCGCCGGTTGTGGCTTCTCCTTCTTGTATGGGAAGAAGAGGGTTTGTTCCATCTTCATGGTCTCCTGGCTCTAAGTAGCTGCCGTGCTCAGTGACAGTACCACAGGCAGAAGGCCCATCTTTCTTAAACATCCTGGAGAAATAAGCATTGCTTGGAATGTATAGTGCCTGTAATTTTTCCACTTGACCTTTAAAGTTTTCTGAATAATAATAATTTGTGGCCAAACTCTCATTCCCCACAGCTTCACCTTTCCACTCCGATGGCTTGGCTGATGGATCTAGACTCTGCAAAGTTGTGTCTTCTGCTACTTTTTCCAGGGATCCTTCTGCTTTAATCAACGATGTATGATATTTGCTAACGTATTTGTCTTCCAAAGTATAAAGTGACTTTTCCTTATTGTAATTCCACTCCTCCTGGGTGGTTTCCTTTGGCTTTTTACTTTCCATAACATGGGCTGAAACATTTAAATTTTCATAACCTAGTGAAGAGAAAATGAAGGCCACTATTACTTTTTGGATAACGGGTCCTCATGAGTCTAAAATAATAATTACTTTCTAAAAATGATTTAAAGTACCAGGTAGCTTCCCTCCAAAAAATAGCATTTGGATGTTTCCTCAAGAAAAATGAATCTAAAAAGGCTTTTGGGTTTCACTATGGAACACCACCCAACAAAATGGTATTTAATGCAGAACGCAAATGCAGGTGCTAGAGTCGGGGAAGATGGCTTTTTGGAGCTGAGATATGGTCACCATTCTTCAGGGAAAAAGTGACCCCAAAATTGTCTCTTGCAGCTCCTCAGTGAGTGAAGAGGGAAGAGGGGGGATGTTTAGAGCAACCTGGGTCGTGGGTCTTGTTACAGAGATGTGCTCTGAAGTTTGCATAGGACTTGCCCAAGGACAGTAGCAGTGACACCTAAGGATCCCTTCCTAAGGCTGAGAGTGGGGAGGGAGCTTACTGTTCACTGAGTTCCATTAATGAGCCAATAGGAAGAGTGAATAGATGTGTGCCAAGCATTTTCCTGGGTTATTTCCTTCTGTCCTCACATTTAAAATGGTATAATATAATCATGCACACCATAATGACATTTCGGTCAACGTCGGACCACATATGTTGGTTCCATAAGATTATAATGGAGATAAAAAAATCCCTGTCACCTAGCGACATCCTAGCCATTGCAATGTCCTAGTGCAACTCTTTCTACCTATTAAAAAGTCTCTTGATTGCACCATTTGCTCTTGTGCTTGATTTATCTCGTGTCGTTTTGTGCAGTAACATGCTATATAGGCTAGAAGCCTAGAAGCAATAAGCTAGACCATATAGGCTAGGTGTGTAGTAGGCTATACCATCTAGGTGTGTGTAAGTGTACTATGATGTTCGCACAACCATGAACTCGCCTAACGACGCATTTCCCAGGATGTAACCCCATCCTTAAGTGACCCATGACAATATAATTAATAATATACTATAAAACAATATAATAATATAATATACATTTACTATAATAATGCTATAGTAACTATTACACTCCCAAATTATGGATAAGGGCTCATTTTTCACAGCTTCAAAGAGGCCATGTTAGGATTCAGGCCAGTCCAATTTGGCTTAACAAATCGGTGGCTTTTATGAAAATCTTAGGGAAGTTAACTTTCCTCTCAGTGATACTCTCCATCTCTTGGCAGGCAAGAGGGTTTCTTTTGAAAACACACAGATTTCCTTCGGCATCCTTAAGGCATCCTTAGGGAGGATGGAGCTATCGAACCATTAAATCCAAGTGCATCAGTCAGCATCTTCACCCAGTGTTTTCTTATCCTCCTTCCCTCCCTCAACTCAGTTAGCATAGTCTGTGATGTGTCAGCCAAACTGACGTGGCCCGAAACTTTTCCGAAATTTCATCCAGGCGTCTTTACAGGAAGACTAATCTCAGAACGCGCGTTTGCTATGTTGGAGCGTCCTCACCGTTCATGTGTTCTTCCACCTCGCTGTCCTCCTCCAGGTGCTCAGATGCGGTGAGAAAGTCGTCCTCGATTGAAGACAAGGAACAGTTTGTGTCATCCTCCACTTTCGAGACGCTTGCCTCCAGGGTGAGCTGCCGCTCCTGCACCAGTTCCAGACCAATCAAAAATTTGTTGATTTCGAAGATGATGCAGTTGGTACTGTTTGGTCTGTTCCCCCTCGCACACTGGACCAAGCAGATATCTGGCAGCCAAGGACACTAAACGTGGAGAGAAAAGAAGGCATTTATTCAAAGAAAAAACAGAAAACCATTGACTCTGACCTTTATTCTTCTTCCACCGATCTCTTCCGTTAGACGGAGTGGAGACATTTAAAAATATTTGGAATATCTTCTGGGCTTATGATGATGAACTGCTCGAAAATAAAACTTCAAATGATGTTTGGGAACACAGGGTACCTAGAAGAAAATTTGACTTAAGAGAAAATAGACCAGTCGTGTTACATATTTTTGTTCCCTTCTGTCTAAGTAAAAAATTGCTTCAGGCAGAGTTAAACAGGTAAGGGAGACTTTACGGGAAGCTATTAAAATAGGGGAAGGAGGCTGGAACTGAGCTGGACCACAGCTGCAATGAAACAAAAGGCGATTGGGCTTTTAAGGGCTGGTATAGGAAGATCGTAGCCCATCTGTGCTTGCTAATTGGCTTTACCAAAGAAAAAGATAAACTCTTTTTGTATCTTTATGATAGGGGGTAGTTTTGCAAATTGGAGCAAATCTCCAAAGGCCTGAATTATTTGGTAGGTACCACAATCCGTGTTTTCATAGATAGGCAATGTCAGAGCAGCAGAGCAAGGCCGAATCTCATCTTAGTCGACTATAACCAGTACCTATTTGTTTAAGGATATTCTCAGTTTGGCTACCTTGTCTCACTGAAAGTCGATTCTCTGTTAATCCATAAGTGAGGACGGAGATATTGGCAGAGGCCACTTGAACTGGGTTAATTGGAGATGTTTAAATCAGGCCCAAGGGCATAGCTAATGTTTTTACAGACCCCGTGAGGAAGGGAACAAACAAGCCACTTGGCATCTTTAACCCACAAAGTTACAGTGCCAGAGTAACTGTAACTTTTGGTGGTCGGCTTAAAATTTTCAGAAATCCACATTACAGGTTACCTCACTTCTCTTAACTTTAGTTTCCTAGTCTATAAGATGAAGATGCCTCTCCACTCAAAATACACTTTCTATGTTCTCAGAGATTAGTCATAGCGATTTAATGAAATAATATGAAAACATCTTACAAAGGACTATTCAAATGCAAAGTAGTTTCTTTTCATATCTGAAAAAATTAAAGGAAGATGAAGTAGAATGAAAATATTTTGTTTTTGTTTTTTAAAGCAAAATAAGGTACCAGAATGGAAGAGTAAGGATATCAAGAGTAATCATGCATTTATAAAACTGGCGAGGCTCCTTTGGGCAAGAAAGGTACAATATTGTTGCAAAGCTAATGTAGAGAGTGTCTTTTCTGCTGCCTGAGGAGTTTCGTTATCTATGAGCAGTTTTCTCTTTGGTAATTCATGTTTTTTGTCTTTTTATCTCAGTAAATGATTTGATTGCTGCTTTTTCATATTGCTACATTATTTTACAATCAAATTATACAACTGTAAAAATGCAGGAAAATATTTATAACACCCTTCATTTATTTACATGTTCATTCATTCAACGAATATTTATTTTACACCTACTAAGTGCTATGCACTTACCTGGGTGCTGAGGATACCGTGGTAAATAAATCAGATATCTTGCTCTCATGGAGCTACTTATTTATAGTTTGGTATTTTCTTGGACCTCATTTCTTGCAGATATTATTAAATATGTATAAACACATACATAACTATCTATGCATGTGTGTCTCAAAAGACTACTGAATACATACCAGTGAGCAACACATCAGGAGCTGGTACAATAGTTACCTTTTTCTTCCTCAAACTGTCCTTAGTAGTCTTAAGATAAGACTCTACAAAATCTTACAATAAATTATCATTATAATAGCCAAGTAAAATACTAAGTGGAAAATATGAATAAATCAGTTCTTTTCCCACATAAAAACATTTTTCTGAGATCTTCATGATGCACAACCATTAGATCTACTCTTGTGGCTGTCTGTTCTGTGAAATGAAGACATCATTTCTCTGAGCATGCCTGATTTTGAGGAGGTCCAGGTGCAACCCACCGTCCTTACAAACTACATGTGTCTTAAGTTGATGCTGGATTTTTGTTGGTTAGACCAGGAGGCCATGGGGAAAATCAGAAAGGACATAGGAATTAGAGTCCAACAAACCTGCCTTGCAATGCTGGCTCTTCCACCTTATATTTGCGTGACCTTGAAAGGACCAGTTAGCCTTGCCGTGGGTGAAGTGATACATAAGAAGTGATGGGGACCCTTGGAACAAAGAAGTTTGAAGTGTTTCTGTTGTAGCTCATAGGCCATTCTCGATAGCTCTTAGGAAAACTGCGGAATTTTAAACATATTTTTGGTGAGTGATCTTTAAGGAGTCCTGGGCCATTCTACTTCCGTTTACCCTAATGAATGCTTGTGTTGCTTTTGTTACCAAACATTCACCTTCCTTTGGTTCTCATACCCTGTGGGGTACCTTTTTCTGGCCCATTCATAGTCCAAGTAATTTACATGGAGTTAATTCACTTCTAACTGCAAAGGTGGTCATGTGACTCAGGCCTGGCCAATCCGAACATCACATTCCTTGAGCTATAGTGATTGATTCAGAAATGACACATGAGAGCCAACAGGATATGATGAGACTTTTGCTGGGAGCCACCTGGAAGAGGCATTTACTCTTTCTTGTTCAACTTGTACCCCAAAGCATATTGTCTCTGAATTTTTTGATATTTTGAAAGATTGAAGAATAGAATATTCAAAAAATATTCAGCAAAACTAAAACCCCAGAAACAACAATTTGGAGGAAAACAAAGCGCTCATTATCTTAATCTATAGCTATCACTATCAGCATATCTTAGTTAAGAAAAATTAGCAATCTTTTATATAGTGTGCCTTTAGAAATATTTTATATGTTTTTCTATAAATTCATTAAACAATTTAAAATTTTTGTTTTTCTTTAAGTAGAGAGTATAATTATTTATCTAATAACGAATATAAGTATGTTGAATGAGAGTAATTTTAATTCCTACTTTAGTTTCAGTAAAACTCTTTTCTTCTGGAAATTTCATTCTTTGGGCCCAGGAAATACCCTTTGCATCTTGGGGGTGGCTATTCTGTTTTTATTAGCTTGTCTGTTTGGTGCATCCTAAGAAATAAATAACACCCAGAAAGAATGAATTGTGGGATTCTGTGACTACATAGTATGAATTAGAATTTTAGTATTGTTCTTGAAACAAAAGACAATTCTGTTTTTTATTATCTAGTAGATTTGTAAAAAACCAAGCTAACAGTCAATGCCTAGTGTGTCTACCCTAGTTTGAATGCCATTTAGCATCATGAATTTGAGAAAATAATAAGTGTTAGGAGTTAATATAAGGGAAGTTCTGTCAAACTCTAAGTGGCAATATTTAGGAGAAATATAAATTAAGATTGTTCTTGAGTACAAAGACATTTTTTGATTTTTATGCTATAGAAGTTTATGTGTAGCATCTACTTGGGGTTCACACTGATTTGTGCCAAGGGCTGATCATAGATAATTTACCACTGGTAAATACTTTATTAAGAACTTATATTTCTTACCTGAGAAACTTCAAAGTCTGTTTGGAGATTTCCAGATGTTAACCCACTTAGGAGGACAATTTCATTTTCTTTTGGCTGTTGAACATTCATGGAGTTGATAAGTTTTGGGAGATCTGGTGATACGTTGACCAATCTCTACAGAGCGAGAATCTTTCTTAGTTTAGATGATTTCCTTTCACTTCCAAAGCACTGCTCCCAAACTATTTACTCGCAAAAACAATATACTCATGTAACTATTCATAGTATAGATCACTTAATCTATGGTAAATTAAATCAGAGCATAAAGTTTTAGATTGGAAGAGAAAATTCCTTACACGCAAAGATTTAAAATTTCTTTAGTTTTAAATTTCCCAGAGTAAACATTTAAAAATTACTGTCACACCACAGTTATGCATAGTAGTTTGGGAATTATTTTCCACTTAAGTCTTGGAATAAGAGACATGTTGACTAAGAATCACCTGTTCTAATAAAGTCGATAATTATAATGATAATAAAATAATCATTACCATTGCTTTTTCTCTATGTTCTAAGCACTATGCTAAAGACAGAATATATGTAACATGTCACTATATTTACTCCCCACAACACCCCATATGGATTAGGTACTTTTCTTTTGACACATAAGTAGCCTGAGACCCAAAGAAGAATATTAGCACCTCATGCAAGTTTATGTAGCTAAATCAGTGCCAAGTGTCTGCTCTTAGCCATAGCAGAAGACTGTCTCAAATCACTCACACAAATCTTCGAACACACAGTTCTTAAGATGTCAACTTGCTTTGGTCTTTCCTGTTCTCTCTCAGATGGGCTCTGCACCATAATTCATCGAATGAAATCCTAAGTACAATTCATTTTGAAAATCCCTCCAGTACTACACAGATGAATAATACTGGAGCTCAGTGGAAATGTATAATGGGTGATCTGTATGGGCAATTGGGTTTCAGAAGCTTCAGGTGTAGCATTGTCAAGAAAAAAACATCACGGGAGTCATTAATTGCACGTCTACTGTTCTGTGATATTCAAGCTGCAAATGGGAGGCTGTTATATACGAAAAGCATTATATCGGTGAGATCAAACCATCTTCAGCTTTGGGCATGAAACGATAATCATATCACATTAGTTAATCCTTCCTATTGTACCCTCAGGCTTTAGGTTCCAAGGACAGAGTGGGCCTTCAAGTTTTTGTGTGTTGTCAAAATTTTACATCAGGATCCTCACTACCTTGGATGAGCTTGGAATATCTGGCTGCCGCAGAGTACGAAATGTTGATCTGAACCTCAGAGAGTATAGGGCTAAGAAAGCAAGGTTAGGATAAAACATTTGATGAAAGCAGCAGAAGGCAGCAAACCTGAGAGCTAGAGGGAAAGGCTGGCTGGTATCAAGCAGGTTTTGGAAAAACTTTGGAAAAGTTTTGAGAGTGGAGAAGGAGAGAGCAGAAAAAGCCACTTTAAGGCACTGATGGGCAGGAGAAAGTACCTGCTCAGAGAATAGCCCTGTCTTTTGGGAACGCAAGATGCATGACTACAAGGAGGGCAAACTACATAAAAAGTGTCAGGAAAGGGGTCAGGAACATGGGCTGTGATGCAACTATCCAATTAAAAAGTCGCCTGCAAAATGAACATCTTTTACAGATGAAGTCATGTCAGTTCTCTTAGTGCAGCCAGTCTCTGTAATGAGCACCCAGAGAGCTTGGGTTCCCTGTGTTACCTGCTGCAGGTGCTCCGTGCTGCACTCATCCTTGTTCACGTCTAGGTTCACAAAGCAGACCTGGGGGAGAGGGCAAACACAGTCAATGAAGTGAAAAGCCTGGTGGTTCTTTTTGAAGCCAACAGGAATCAGTTAAAGGCAAATGATTTGACAGTGCTACACAAATGATTTGAGAGTCCTACGCATTTCATAGAGTTGATCTGGCATTGAAACGGGCATTTTACCGTGGGCTTCTGTGTAGACTGTTAACACTGGAGTCATAATTCCCACCGATCCCACCAACTTCTTTCTTCCTTTCATGGCGCAAGAAACAAAGCATTCTCTTTGCATTAGAGTCAGTGCAACAATCAGAACAAAATCTTCAGGTTTATAAAGGGTTCTCAAATCTTATGAAATAGGACAAAAGATCTATAATACTCTGAACCTCTGTTTATAATTGCAATGAACCCATCTCTCCATCGTTCTTTTCTCATTTCTTGCTCCTTTCTCCTCTCGCTTTTCATATAGTATGTGACAGGTGGATTTCTCTTTGTCTCATGATTTCAGTTCATTTTAATTTATTTAATCTTGCATAGTTTGCCTCTTCTTAGCCATCTTAAAAGTTTGAATAAGTTAGAGCATAAAAACAATAGCTGCAATGTTAATAATTCAGAACGACAATCATTTAAATCTCAAACGTATCACGTAGAGAAAAATCTACTACGGGCATTCAGATGGAGATGGGGAGGGGAAAACTTGAAGTTTCAAAGAGGTGAGATATGTTCTTTAGAGTTTAATAGGACTGTGGCGAGTAGGGAATGGGGTAGGTAGGTGTTCCTGGGAAGTCGGATAGCATGAGTGATACCTGGAGGTAGAAAGTGCCAGACTGTACATACAATGGGATATTACTCAGCCATAAGAAGAGATGAAATACTGCCATTTGCGACAACATGGATGGACCTTGAGCTAATCATGCTATGCGAAATAAGCCAGGCAGAAAAAGTTGAAAACCACATGATACCACTTATATGTGAGATATAAACCTAAAAGCAACAAACAAACAAGACAAACAAACAGAGACTCATGGACATGGGCAATAGACTAGTAGTTACCAGAGGGCAGGGGGAAGAGGGAGGGGTAAGTAGATGGGGTAAAAGGGGTCAAATATGTGGTGACAGACAGAAATTTAACTACGGGTGGTGAACACACCATGAAATGTATATATGCCTTATTGTCGAATTGTATACCTGAAACTTACTGGATTTCGTTAACCAATGTCACCATAATAAACACAAACAAACAAACAAATAAAAGAGAAGCAGGGAGGAAGGGGGTCTAATTGGGGTACACATCTACAGAAAGAGAAGTGTTAGAATTAAGGTCCCAGAAGGTCCGTGTTAAATGAGATCATAGAAATGAGGTTTTTACAATGTTTTGCTAAAAAAGGTTTTTATTCTTAAGACGCGAATTTGGCCATGTAGAGCTGAGGACATCAATTATTCGGATAGATATTTAGTCAGATGTTTGGACTTAAGTAGATGCCTGCAGGCACACGGGGCCTTCTGATTCGTGAGTTGTTCGAGGTCATGGCTTCTCCAAGTCCATCCTTTCTCTTCTTGAGGGTTAAAAGAAAAACATAAGCAAAAGATTCTGGGAAAAGGTTTCAAAACTAAAATACTTATACATTACTGAAGTGTAAAGATCACTACAGTTTTATTCTCCCAAATAATGAGAGATTTCTTCAAGTTTCCTGGGCTCACACCATCCTTGCCACATATCGTTAGGATGCAGTATCTGCTTGTTGAGAATAACTTGGTGGGCACTTGGGGGGAGGAAGGGCACGCTATGCCAGCCACACCCTCATTAGAGGTTCTCTTCCTTGGCTTAATAAGATGGGTAAACGGGGAGGAACTGGGTCTGTGTCCCTTCGCCGACAGTGCAAATGGAAGGGGAAGGGGTTCGAAACCTAAAATAGCTCGAAAATATTTATATAATAATAGTAACTTTGCCTTTGAAAACTGGTTCAATATCCATTAGTGCTTCAGGACTTTTAATAACACGTAGCTGGGATGGCAGTTACTGAATTGATTAGACGATTTTCCATTCTCCTTGAAGAAAGGCGAGTTATTTTGACCTCGGGCTCTTATTTATGACCTTCTATCACAGTGGGAAAGGGAAAAACAGCGACCAAAGAAGGCATCTATAACAGTGATTTCTCTACCCTCTGATACTGTCTTCAGTTCTCTGAAGATGGACTCAGTTTTCATTCATTCTGGGCTGCAATGTGAAACTGCTACCTTTGAAGGAAACCCTCTACACTTAGCTAGCTGGGCCAGAACAGGAACAAAGCAAGATATAAGCCAACCGCTTGCTTATACTTGGAACATATATGTTTCTGTCAGGGATGATCCAGGTTTTTAGGGACATATGTACACACGATATTCAGAGATTCTCTTTAACAAAAAGAAAAACAAAATTAAAAATTCTAACTTAGGTGTGAAAGTGAGTATTCATTTATGTAGAAGAAGAAATCACAACAAATCTCAAAAATAAAAAGGCTGACAAACATGACAACTTCCAGAAAAATGATATTTTAATCAACT